AACTCATAACAGAACTCAGATCGTTGTGTAGCATGGGCGGATTCCATTTGGCTAAAATAGTTAGCAATAGCAGAAAAGTGTTAAATGCCGTGCCAATATCAGATCGTTCAAAGCAAGTAAAATCATTGGACTTGTGTAAAGATCATTTGCCCTGCGAACGAGCGCTTGGTATTTGCTGGCATGTGGAAGAGGACTCCTTTGGATTTGATGTGGACGTCAGGCGTCTGTCAATGATGCCACGCACTAGAAGAGGAGTTTTGTCAGCCGTAGCGTCTGTCTATGATCCCTTAGGCTTGATAAGTCCTTGTCTGATGGTGGCGAAGGTGTTATTACAGGAACTCAGCCGAATACGGCTAGGATGGGACGATGACATACCAGCCACCTTACGACACCAATGGGATAAATGGCTCCAGCATCTTTCACTTTTATCAACGCTCAAGATTAGGCGCTGCTTTAAATCGTCTTTTCTTGGCGAAATAGCAGTAGCAGAGGTCCATCATTTTGCCGACGCTAGTGAGAAAGGATATGGGATAGTTTCTTATTTGCGGTTAGTCGACATCTCCGGAAGAATCGAATGCAGCATTGTGGGAAGTAAATCGAGGCTAGCACCGATAAAAAGCGTGACAATACCCCGACTAGAACTCTCTGCGGCCGCCCTTGCTGTGAAGACTAACAGCTCAATAGTTCGAGCCTTGCAAATTCTAATTGATCGTGTTTTCTTCTGGACGGATAGCACCGCAGTCCTTCGATACATCTGCAATGTGTCATCACGATTTCACGTATTTGTGGCCAATCGACTTGCCATAATTCACGATGGCTCTACGCCCGACCAGTGGAATCATGTGAAGTCAGCCGACAACCCCGCTGATCATGTTTCTCGTGGTCAGAACCCGTCAATTTTTATTAAGAATATGCAGTGGCAGCATGGCCCGCAATTCCTCTGGGAGACGAGAGATCTAGGGGAGAGTGGGGAAAGATGCCCAGGGTTTTACTATGTCTTATATTATTCAAAAATGATGATCGGAAAGCAAAAACTTGGAGTTTCAACGGAAGCCGACATCATTTTTCTCCGAAAATATCACACTTCCGTGCCTGAAATATGATAACTTTTTTTGCTATTAAGCATTTTCCTGAAGAAGTGAAAGGGGGCATCTTACCCCACAGGGTGGGAAAGACGCCCCTGGCATTGGGGAAGATGCCCCCCTGCACTATAAGTGACATAAATGGGCACGTGAATCGCCTGAATGAATCAGTAGTCCCTTCGAGCCTGCAGTAGACACCAAACGTCATCGCAAGGGCCCTCGAAAGTAGTCGTAAGGGGCTTCAGAGGTCATCGTTAAGGCCATCATAGTCCAGCGCGGCCAAACAAGCCTCCGTGGTGGCGTTCGGAGACCACTGTGGGGCCCTTATAGGTCTTCATGATGCTTGAGGGCCCTCGAGCCCATCGTGGGAACCTCAGATGCCAGCGCGGCCCGTGGAGCCAACGTGGGAGCCCTCAAAGGATGTCGTGAGGGGCCCTGGAGCCAATAATGGGGCCCACAGAGGCCGTCGTGAGGGCTCTCAGAGTCAGATGCCGCCCAAAAAGTCGCTGTGTGGGCCGAGAGACCGGCAGGGGGAGCACCCGACCGTACTGGACTCTCAATAGTCCCAGATCGGCTTTTGTCTCTCATCACAAGTATGTAATAAATGATTTGACGGGTTGCTTGAAGGACAGCCTAGTGATTTAGGGGGGCGTCTTTCCCCATCTGGACAGGGGGCATCTTACCCAAAGGTACCGAAGTCACATTAAATCAGTACAATTTGTTAGCCATAAAACTACACCCTGAAACAAACTGTTTGGGACACAGTACACGCATGTTAATGTATCACGACTATAGCATGGGACGCAAAAATTATCTAACTTCTTTGATATTTACAATGTTTTGACACCAAAATATTTTTTGAAAGCAGCAAATAAAAAACATGCAATCACCAGCCAGCCGTTGCCCAACTGAGCTTCGCAAATTTTTGTGCAGTTAACATGACAGGCTTCCGCTTTACGCTAAGAACATTGATTTCCAGGTTCGATTCTTTGTTTCGCCGCTAGAGGGGGTGGGGCGTCTTTCCCACCCTGGGCATCTTACCCCACTCTCCCCTACCAAAACAGAACTGCGTTGATAGTTATCTACCAGATGACGACCCAGAGGTGAAAAAGGTCACGACGGCCGCGTGCATGTTACAAAATAATGCTGCAGACAACGTCCATCCTATACGTAGATGCATAAATTATTTTTCGTCGTGGAAACGTCTGACACGAGCGGTCGCCTGGTTACTCCGCATACGCTCTTACCTTAGGAAGAAAACCAGTGATAATCGTCGCATTGCGCCAGAGGACATTTTAGAAGCTGAGCATGTCATTCTCAAACACGAGCAGCATACAACGTTCCAGCAAGAACTGACTGATTTAAGCTCAGAATTTTTGCGTAGAACAAGCAGCATTTACCGACTGGACCCCTATATCCACGACGGCCTCCTCCACGTAGGAGGCAGGTTGCGGCACTCCTCTTCCCAGCACACCACTAAACACCCTGTTATTCTTCCGGCAAAAGGGAGGGTCGTCGACATGTTGATACAAAAGGTACATGAAGATGTAGGGCATGGAGGTAGAGAGCATGTCCTCTCAGAAATACGAAGGACGTATTGGATTCTAAAAGGAAATAGCGCGGTAAGACGGGTCCTCGGAAACTGTGTTCGGTGTAGAAGAATGAAGCGCAAGCCGGAAACACAAAAGATGGCCGACTTACCTCCTGACCGCATTTGTGCTCTGGAGCCGCCATTTTCAAGTACTGGAACTGACCTCTTTGGTCCGTTTTTCGTAGCCCGGGGGCGAAGTCAAGTTAAAAAATACGGTATCATCTTTTCTTGTTTGAGCACTCGTGCTGTACACATTGAAGTTGCCAGCAGCCTTTCAACCGACTCCTTCATTTGTGCATTTCGCAGGTTCCTTGCGAGGAGAGGACAAATAAGAACCATCAGATCTGATCGTGGTACGAACCTCGTAGGTGCCAAGCGAGAGCTAAGTAGAGAGTTGGACCTTTTGGCTGACAGTGACGCAATCCATTCGGCAATGTTAGAAAAGCAGGTTAAGTGGATTTTCAACCCCCCGCAAGCATCAACTTTTGGTGGCGCTTGGGAGCGCATGATTAGAAGCGTGAGAAAAATTCTTGATTTTATACTGCATCTGCAAAAGTTGACTGACGAAAGCTTGCAAACGTTTCTATGTGAAGTGGAGTACATACTCAACAGTCGCCCCTTAACAGCGGTGTCTGCGGATCCAAAAGACCCCGATCCCCTGACGCCCAACGATATCTTACTGCTGAGATCTTCTTCGATTCCAGCTGGCCTATTTGATAAAAATGACGCAGTTGGGAAAAAATTGTGGCGACAAGCGCAATATATGGCAGACCAGTTTTGGATACGATGGCGAAAAGAATACATCCCTTTGTTACAAGAAAGAACTGCAGATCAGCGCCTTCGATCAAATGTAGCAGTAGGCGATATTGTCGTTGTCGTTGATGCCTCCGTTCCCCGGGGGCAATGGCCGTTTGGTCTGGTGAAGGTGGTGCGAAGGAGCGAAGATGGTCTCGTGCGCTCGGCCACGGTGCTAACTGGGGGTAAGCTGATACAGCGCCCTGTGCGCAAGATAGTGGTTGTGCTTCCATCTAGAGAAGGTAGAGAAGGTTAAAACCTATGAGTAGTTTTAAAGGCGGAAGTGTTAGCGCTGCTAGCACAGCACTACAACTTACAACGTTTGAGAAGCTGAGCTTTGGAAATTCCGAACGAAAAACGAAGAAAACGAACGGAAACGATCGAGCTTCCCATCGAATTGAAATACCGAATTCGTACGAAGGATCGAACATAAACTGAATATGTCATTAAACGGTTTTCAAAACGTTTTCAACTCTGGAAATATCACCGAGAAATGGCAGAACAATGCAGAGGACAAACAGCGGACATAAAGCGGACAACGCCCAGCTCCTAGCAGACGTCCCATGTCCATCTGAGCGGGATGGGAGCGGTCCGGGAGAAGCCGACAGGTGCATTGTAATCCCATCTATCCTCCGATCACTGATCCGCTGTTACAGGACGGATCAGATCACTTCCATGGGATCAGCAGATGGGAACTGATCGCTGATCAGGAGCCCAGCCGGAGGGGATTGGGTTAATGCGATCCCTTATCGCGGCAGTTCAGATATGAAGTCGGACTAACGGGACGGGGTCATGTATGCGTGTTTCGCCCTGAAATGTAGGATAGTTCGGAGTCCGGGATGTTCATTAGAGCGGCTACACATTTCTTATGAAGAGAGTGAAAACTATGGCGTGACTGTTTAGCACACGCCGGCCAGAAATTTTCCACCAGAAAGATTTTCGCTTAATTTGGTCGTTAAAAATAGAAACTTTAAAAGCAAAACAAACACTGCAGGGGTTCCAACCGGTCACAAACGACGGCCCTTTTACACCACCACAGTATCGAGGGCACCATCCGAGCCAGGCGCTCGCATGGTTATATCGCGGGTACCGAGTTTATCGCGGCTCCAGTCGTCACGGTCTGGAAGGTGAGATGGAAAGATGACCTCGGCCGCTGGTCAGCAGATTCGTGACCGCGGGTAGTTGATAAGGAAGCACCGGAAGTCCGAACAGTGAAAACGTTGCACGGTTCCCCGAGGGTGGCGGATGAATTTAGACCGCAAATGATATATCGAGTTTGATATAATGATGACGGCACGGTGCTGCAACAAAATTAGACAGAATCCGAGAAGCAGCAAAAAGTGAGGTCATCATTGATAAATATGGCCTCGATCGTTCCAAATCAAGAAAATGGGTAGGAATTGTAACTGCTGTTGGCGAAGTACGTTGAAGGCACTGGTCCTTATTTAATCAAACTTTGCGGTAAAAGGTGTTGGTAAGACCGTCTTTGGATTTGGCGGAGGTTGAGCTGTTCTGAGCTGCAGCGTACTTACCTGGAACGGTTGCGAGAATCCGATCTGGACGGTCATGCGATCTTTGGCGCACATGACCTCCAGGTTTGTGATCTGAGGCATATTGGCCGGCCGCACCAGCTGGGTGTCATATTGCGCGTGTGCCACCTGTAAAAAAAGAAACAACCGTGAGCAGTGAGGCATGATGCCACCAAAGAACACATAAGCACATGTCGGACAGACGCAGACAGCCGAAGATCGATACACATACAGGACTTACGGAAAAAGGTGACGCATAAGGAGCCACTCAACTTTATCGACACAGTTATCCCGAACCCATGACCAAGTTATATTTGCATGCACAAAGCGGTACACATCAGAGACACAAAAAAACAAGGAAACCTCACAAAAAGACTGTTTAAATGAACACTCACAGAGTCCAATTAACGCTCCATTAGACACAAATAGAAAATAAATGCTCCACTGAGCTCAGAGTGAATAATTTGACTGAGGCCATTTGAGGTTCCGAGTCTCCTTGGTCGCACTTTCCCTGGAATGAAGTGAAGCGGAATCGTATGACGCATGAAAGACGATAGGGCGAAATTTAATGTACGGCTGAACAAGGAGTCCTTTTCCTGGAATACCTACCCGGCCAAAAGTAAATGCTAAAATGAACGGGTAAATTATATGTGTGTTGTATGAAAAATGATTTAAAATGCCGAGGCTTTATGCCATAGTTTTGGGATCCGATTCCTAATAACACGATCAGTGAACCATCCAACGTCCACCATTTGGTCGATAAATCGCTTCATGTAGAGCGTTAAAAAGTATCATTGTTGTGAAACTCCACTTTTTCTTCGCTCCGTGTTTGCAAGTCAAGCGTGATGCTCGCCATGAGACAAATGTTTGTTTTTTGTTGGCGTTATGGTTCACCTGGTATAACCTGGCCTCGCTTGGTTTCCCTTAAACTCAGCGGTCTTTCTAAATAATTATCCTAAGGACAGCTGCTATAAATGCACATAATATCTCCCCATCTAACGTCTAAAACATAGCGGGCGAAAGCACAAAATGCGGACATAACATGAGAGAGAGAGAGAGAGAGAGAGAGAGAGAGAGAGGGGGGGGAGACAGAGAGACAGAAATAGAGACAGATACAGAGACAGAGAGGGGAGAAAGAGAGAGAAATAGAGGAGAGGGAAGAAGAGGGAAAGACCGGACAGACACCCGACACTGAAGCACTACGACAGAGACCGAGACCGAGACAGAGGCACGCACGCTCTGTGACAACAGAGCTGGACAGCCCCCAATTCGGGTCAAGAGATCTGAGCCCGCTTCGGGTAGGTCCGGCTGCTCGGCGCCGTCTCTCTCTGAATCACGGGAGAGCCAATCGTCCTGACCAACTACAGGAAACGCACCGAGCCGGACCAGTCGGCGGAAAAAGAGAAAACGCGACCACTCCGAACAGGTCGCCGGCCGGCCGGAAGCGCCGCCTCTGAGGTCACCGCAGTTACGGGTATTACCGGCCAGCTCTGGAGAATCTCGGGCTCGGTCGGAGCCACTCAAAAGGAGGCGCGGGGGAGGGGGACCGGTTGGCGATGGAAAGCAGTGGCCGGCCAGCCGGTCTCGCAGCAGTGACCCGGGTCATTGTCGTCTCGTGCCATACCCTGGTTCACCGCACATTTCGGTCACCACTGCCTTTTTATTCCGATACAGGAACAGAATCGCAATGGCGATTCAGTCGCATTGTTATGATAACAGGGTGGTACGTATCGATGGCGGAACGAACGAACTCTGAGAAATGTTGGTACGTCTATAACACTGTCTTCAGGCTGGGATAAGTGGTTGGAAAGTGGGAACTGAACCATACCACTTTGTTGTCCTGAGTCCTGCCGTATGCGGAAACTTAGCCTCCGAACGATGGACGACAAACGATAGACGGAAGACGATGTCCGATGGACAGTAGCGAAAGAGGAGGTTGGGGCAATGGAATATGGACGACGGAAGCTGGGCGGCGTTGGAGGACCAACGGATAACGGCGGAGGGCTGGGCGGCGGAAACGGCGGCGGCACGCAGACTTCACGGCCGCCGAGTGCCGACCGGCGGCTAACGGGCCGCGCCGGGCCGGGAGGCGGAGGGAGGACAGCCTCGGATGTGGGCCGCGCCACCGCCGACTGCCGCACGAGACAGGTGACTGACGACCGCCGACACCTCTCGCCAAATCAGCCCTCCCCAACAGATTCCGACAGGTACCGCACGAAACAATTGTGACATTTCTACATAATTACATAATACATAATTATGACCTACATAACTCCTTTTGAGTAGATATCCCATATGAAATTGTATCATTTGTTTCTAGAGACCCTTCCCTAATGATGACATCGAAAGCCATAGCAGACGTGACTTATCTTAATCAGACCATTAAAATGAGGCGGGAGATAATATGGTGTGGCAAAACTGTTAGCACCCAAAGTGACGTAAAATATTTAAATATATTTCCCCAGGTGAACCGGCGGAGTAGCTGACAAACTATCGCTACCATCTCTCCCTAGGGGTCCGATCTTTACTATCTGGACCTTGGGTGTCAGCGCGGCTTGTATCGGTCTGTCTGTCGGCTTATGGGCGTCGCTGCTGTGGGAACGGTAGTCTCTGTCGCTACCATTCAGTCTGTGGGCGTCAGGATCAGACAGCCAGACTGCTACCGGATCTAAGGACATTGCTACTGTCTACATGGTCTAAGGACGTCGCTACTGTCGAGTCTAATGATGCGGCTACTGTCTAGTCTAATGACGCGGCTACTGTAGGCCCTAAGAAAGTCTCCAGACGCTATTGTCCATCTGAAGCCAGCCCCCGGACCTGTCCGGCCGGCGCGGTGGACGGGCGGCGGCGCCCACCGGAATGTGAACAAATCCGGGAAGGCAGCGGCGTCACGCCACGTGTCCGGAGCCGGAGCCGAACCGGGTCATCGCGAGCGGCGAGCCGATACGGCCGGCCGGCCGCGCACACAACTAGTGCGGAACGCAGACCGACCGACCGAGCGGCCGATCGACCGATCGACGGCGACCGTGGCCACGGACGGCGCGGCGATCTGATCCCAACAATGAACCCGACTATCACTGGCCAGACTCAGAGGTTACGCGTACCATACGGTCATTGGAGGTCAGAAGTGACAGTGACCCTCTGAGGTCAGGGCAGTGACATTGGGACGATTCCGGACATGCCGAATTAAAAGAACTTCTCAACTATAAAGTTAAAAGACACGAATAACTCGGAGGACAGACGGCTCACTGAACTCTGTTTGCAAATGCACTGCGCCGCAGACCCGTGTCACCTCGCGGACTTTCTCCGGCGGTCGGTGTCCGTCCGGTCGGCCGGTGTCAGCGTGTCATCTCGAGTCAGGTGTCGCGCGCTGTGACACGTCCCCGGCCCGGTCGGCGGTGCCCAGTGGGTCAGCCGGCGGCACGCGGAGCTGTGACGACCAGCCGGACCGGCCGTCTGTGGACCGGTCCCCGACCACCCCCTCCGTCCATCAGACCGGTCACAAACCGAGATCGGCCGGACGGAGGGGGAGAGGCCGGACGGGGGAGAGAGCAGATCATCGGGTGTGACCCGGAGTAGGGCAGAGCACAGAGGCGAACGGGCGAAAGCGAGAAACGACAAGGGTTGCTGTATGTTGTAGGAAACTATAGGAATTGCATGAAATCATGAAAGGTTTATGCATCCCATATTTGGCCTCGCCCAGTTTATTGCAATAACATTTAACTGTTCAAATTATTTCAAAGCCAATAAGTTTTAGAGGACTCATTTTTTTTGAAAATAAGCCGTATTTGCTTACACTTAATGAATGGAGCGATGTAGCACATAACTTGGCCGTTCCGTCATTACTTCAAGTTACTTCAACAGCTGCCATGATCGTAACACTCGGCAATAAGCCGAAATGACACACTCGAGTCATTCGCCGGCTCACGAGTGGGCGATTAGCCCGCCTAGTGACAGCTGCCACGGCGGCTGCTGAGACGGGCTAATGACTGGACGCTGGGCGCCGCGGTAATTAACCCGCGCCGTGCTGGTGGCCTGAACTTTCCGCCGAGTGCTGGGGGGGGGGGCATTTTCACGCCCCCCCCGTCTAACTCGGCTCCTGGGCCACGTAGCGACACGCGGTAAGCGGCAATCGAAAGAGCGTCAAAAATAAGGACGAAAACACTTCGGTCATTTTTTGGGTCAGGTCAAAGGTCAGGTCACCAGAGGTCACCAAAGGTAAAATGTTGACTATTTCAACATTTTGGAAACTGCCAACGGCTATCTCGGGAACCGATAGAGCTACAGCGCCGCGGAAAAGCGCATTCGATAGCCCTTTTACAGACCTTTCTGAGTAATGTTCTCAGATTTGACCTCAGGTCAACGGTTTAGCCTCCAGAGGGCAAAAACTCCAAAAATAGCCGTTTTTACGAAAAACGTTTTTTCGTCAATAACTTTTGACTCATAAGCGCCATGACATTACTTTTGCCAGCATCGTGTTCCTCTCGTCGAGACGCGTCGAATGAACTATTCGTTGATCTTGAAAGGTCATTTTGAAAATTTGACCTCAGGTCAAGGTCATGACCTGACCGAAAAGGGTCATGTTGCATATCAGTCGATCCGTACCGTCGAGCTGAACACATCTGACGTGTTTTCACCGCTCTAGCACGTCTCTATCAAAAGTTATAGCCAAAAAACTGCTGGCGACCGTTCATGACCTGAGATGACCTCAGGGGCACACAGAGGGGTCACAGGTGCATTTTTCCTATTCAGTGTGTCATGTTTACCTATGAACCGATGTTTGAGAGCGTTTTGAACGATATTCGTCCAAAAGAGGCGCATTTCAATTTTCTCCCATTGACTTATAATGGAGAGGTCGCAAAATTGACCTGACCTTAGGTCACAGATATCAAAAATCCGAGATATACATTTTATACATACTGTTACTCATATCAATCGCTGAAAGTTTCAAAGTGATCGTTCAGTCGGTGTAGCTATAGCGAGCCTTTGAACTTTTTCTGAGGTAAGGTCACTTGACGTGACCTGGTGACCTGACCTTGAACGGCCTAGGTCTGAAATTTTCACAACATGTGCGGAAATGATGTAGGAACACGTGTACCAAAAATGGCGGCGCTGCGCGCCGCCGTTTT